CAGTTGCTGAATGTTCCCCTCAGCAGCTGGAGCTGCCACCAGGGCAGGATGGGGCAGCATCCTTGAGTTCCTTATCTCTGGGTAGCTCTGGCACAGAGTGTCCCCGAGTTTGTTTTCCCTGGCTTTAGGAAAACAATTTACCCTGCTTCTTTCTTTTTTAATTTTTTTTTTTTCTTAACTTGGGCTTGAAAACGAAAATGCTAAGTAGGATCCTGGGTAACAGCTGTCTGTTCTTTCAACAAGGTGCTTATTTGTTGCCTCTAGCAAAGAGGAGCTGCCTGGGCTGCCAGAACAGCCTATACAGAGCTAATTGACAAAAACTGGCAGGAAGTTACAATTTCTATCCACAGCTTACCAAAAATGGGCTTTGTTCACCTTAGAGCTGATACCCTCTCCCCAGCTGAGTGGTGCTGTGGTAGCTGCTAATGTGGCTGTTGTATTTCTTAATTGCACTATCAAAATTTTCCCAATTTATTATTGTGGCTGGCACATAAAGAGGATGAGGAAGGAGTGAGCAGGGAATGCTAATGACATGTCTGAACCCAAATCTAGGAACAAAGCAAGAGCCTCAGTGCACAAGACTAGGAGATAGGCTGCTTTTCCCAGGAACTCACGGGTTTTTGTTGGTTTTCTTTTTTTTTTCCTCTCAGGATTCAAGCTCATTCTCCTTCCCTTCTTGCCAGCAAGACTCCAGCTGCACAAACAGGAGGAGGAGAAGAAAAGGGCCATTCTTGCTGGCTGTTTTCAGGAGGAGGAGACCAATGTTCATGGCCTGTCTTTCTGCATAAACTCATTCCACAAAGATCCTGAAGCTGTCCTCTGTCTCCAGCTCCCCGTGCTAAACAGCAGGTGCTTGTTTTTACCAAATGCTTTTTTTTTTACCCCCAGCCTTTGAAAGATAGAACTTGAAAGGAGATATTTGATGTGCTTTTCTAGTTCAGCTCTCCTCAAGCTCCATGTTCTGTACTTGTTCCTCTCTCTTCCATAGTGTATAATGTCAGCTCAGGAATCTAAAACACATTTTGACTCTGACATTTGCTGCTCTTTATAAGCAAGTTGAACTCTCAGCCCTTCCTCTGATGCAAGAATGAAATCTAGTTAATTTGACTTGCAACTAACACGCTACAAGTTACTCCAAGAAGCATTTTTGCTGCGTGAGTTGTTCCTGGGACTTGCTACCTTCTGCATAGTTCTTGTTACTTGCTCATACAGCTCCATCCAGGTATTGCTGTGTCATCTCAGGGTTCAGAGGCAATAACTTGTGACTCACGCTGTTGTGGTGCTGTGCTCAACTGCACCCAAAAGTGAAGCTTGCTTTTCGTCTGGAGCAAGGAAAGCTGGATCCTGCTGCTTCCAAAGCTTGTCAAGGCTTTGAAATTCAGATAGGCTGGCTTGTGACCTGACTTGTGACCCACCTCCTTTTTGTTTCCTGTTTCCTCTCCTTTTTTTTTTTTTAATTTAAATTTTAATCCTTGACTTTTGTGTCTGCTCTGAGCTCTGCTTGTTACTATCTTTTTTTGACTGTCCAGGACACCTTTTAAATCTTCAAGCAAATCTCCTTTTATCCTGGACTTCCCTGTCCCACCTGAGCCATAGCCCTGGCTGTGGCTTTTTCCAGAGTGCTCCCATAGCTCCTCCTTTCTGCAGAGGAGTGAAGTCTATCCGGGTAACCCCTCTCCTGAGGTCTCTAAGTCAGCTGGAGCCCGGTGGAACTATGCCTTGGCACTGCTCCTTTGGACAAACACCTTTTCAATAGGCTTTTGTGCACGGCAGGCTCCCCCCTCCTCTCTGCCTGAAAGCAAACCGAGTGCCAGTGGGGCTGTTGAGTCTTGTTGCAGTCCTTGTGCCAATCATTCCCATTGTTTCTTTGTGTCGCTTTTCACATTTTCCACGGCCCCAGCTATGTCTACAATGCAGCCCACAGACCACGGCTCTGCAAGACACAGTATCTCCTTCTTGCCACTCTGAGATCAGCCACAGCTTTCAAAACAAGTGATGCCATAAATGAACTGAGCTCTATTTATTCCTGCAGGTTCCTTAAAACCTCTCCCTGTTGTTCATCTTCTGTGCCCGCTTTTACGCTTGAGTGCTGTTTTGCACTTTGTATCTGCCCATCTTGTGCCACTGGGCAGATTCTGTGACTTCTGGAAAACACTTGGAATTGAGGCTAGGCAGACATCTAAGCAGAAATTGAGGATTGTCAGCCTAGCTGAAAACTTACAGTTCTGTGAGCGCGGTGTGCAAGCTAAACAAATATTTATTGATTAGCTGTGGTTTTTGGTGGACTTTTGAAACCAAATACTGCACAGCTTATCTTCCAAACCAAAGTCCTCCTTCCCCAGGCTCTGCTGGATGATTTTTGGGAGCAGGGCAAGGACCAGCACAAAGGCCTGCTCCCCAGGGCAGGGCAGGAGCCTGTCTCATTGCAGTTAATTGACTCCAAAAGGGGAGCAAGGGCTTCAAGGAATGAGGGGAGAGGGGAGTCTCAAGCTCAGCTGCTCAGTAAAAACTCTCTTGTTGCTGTAAGTACAGCCCTGGGGATTAGAACCCCCCCCCCAGCACTGCTCACCTCCTGATTCCTGTGGAGTTCCATTATTTACCCATAAACAGTTCTCTTTGTTGTTTCTTAGTGACTGAACAAAAATAGAGAACATTGCCAGCTCCCAGGCGTGGGGAACACACTGCAGACCACGTGTCTCACAGGTGCTGTCTGGGGTACTCCTCTATCTCACTCCAGATCCCACACTTCCCTGAAATCTCAGCTGCTCCAGGGAGACTCAACTAGTATTTTGCAACACTTAAAACACCCTCAGCTTTGTTTCCTGTCCATAACTGGCTGAAAGTTGTCCCTGACAAGGACCAAAAGGGACTGTCTCCCAGGATGCTGTCTCATTTCTGTGGAAGTGTGGCACAGCTCCAGCCTGCTGACCACTGGGATAACTGGGAGCTGGAATGTTTGCTTCCCATGTGTGATGCCAAGCACAAGAAGCACTGTCGTGACATGAAAACCCTCGGGCTGAAGGGTGAGAATTTTACAAGCTCTGGAGAATGGCCACTGTGGAAAATGTAGGTAAATATCCATCTCCCTGCTCCTGCTGACATCCTGGGCTGGTGCATTGCAGCACTGTTTCCCCAGGTAATAATCACACTGAGAGCTCAGACTTTTACTCTGGTTGCAGTAGCATTAATTCCTTATCTGATTTCTCTTGGACCTCCAGACATCGTGGTGCCTGGACAGAGCTCTGACCTGCCCTGCAAGGATGCTGACAGGATCAAGGAGAGCATGTTTGCATCAAGTAATGCTCCTGCAGAGAATGTTCTACTTCTACAGATTTCTTCAATGCAAACCCATCTTTCCATGCACCACCTGGGAGAACCCTGTCGAGCCCAGCTTGTTTTTCTCTCCTGTGTTGCCTCCTGCACACAAGTATTGGCAGTTGCTCATGTCATTCTTCCCCACAGCTGGGTGTTTGCTGCTGAGATTTGTGCAACAGCTTGTGAAATGTTCACACTGAGCCACAGCCTGGGAGGTGTTAGGGAGGCCAACTGACCACAGCTGGTGTTTGGGGGGACTTGTGGTTCAGTACAGCTTGCTGAGCTAAAGGGCACTCCCAGTCATTGAGAGATGTGTTGATGTGGGAAAAGGAGATGCAACTTGTCTAGGGGCTCCTAGAATGCCTCCTCCATTCTAGGAGCCCCGTGTGTCAGAGATGTGGTGGGCAAGGATTTGGTGGGGGAAAAGCTCCAGCTGAGGAGCATTGGCAATAAATGGCCTGGCACCAAAGTAGCGTGTAACAACCTGCAAGTAATTTCTAAATAATCCCCGTGCACTTCTTAGAACAAGTTGTGGCAGGTCTATTTTTAAGCACCCAGCCTTGTCTCAGCTCCATTCTCTGCATATTTTTTGGCTCGGTTCCCACGCAAGTGCTGTATCAAGGTTAATTCGACTCTCCTGGCCGGGTAGGCTGTTTCTGGCGCTTTGCTTCGCCTCCCACAAAACACCACCTTGTCCGGCTTTCCTCCCCCTCAGGAGGCTGGAAGGAGGGCAGGGGGCAGTCCTGGGTGCAGCTGCTCCGATAAGGCCCCGGGGAGGGGACTCTGCCCTCCTCCCGCAGTGCTCTCCCGGCTCCACACCCCGCAGCGTTTCACAACCGGCCCGGCCGTGCCAGATCCGCTTCCACCCCACGGCGGACTGGGGCATCCTTGGGAGCGGACGGCGCTGCCCCCACACCGCCCACAGCTGCGGGGAGCACGGACGGAGCATCCCCCGACGGTGCGAGTGTCAAGGTACCACATCCTTCAGCCCGCTCTGCTCTTTGCTCTCTCGGCAGACCCTCTCTCTCCGGGACCCCCGGGGCAGCGCAGAGCCGCCCGGGGCGGTGCGGGATGGGGAGGGGAGCGGCGGCGGCCCCGCGGCCTCGCCCGTTCCGGTTCCGTCATGTGAACGGAAAAAGGAAGCGGGTGAGGCAGCGGCGACCCCGGTGGGCGGCGGGGCCGCGGGGGCGGAGGGTCCTGCCCGGGGCCGGAGGGCACCGGACCGGCCGCGGGGGCAGCGCGGGGGGAGCCGCCGCCTCGCAGCCACCGGTTGTCGCACGGGTGTCGCACCAGCCCCGCTGGCGCTCGGGGGTCCCCGGGGGGTTCCTCGGAGGGGTGACATCCCCCCGGGGTTTCACCCCCTCGCTGGGCATCGCTCGGTGCGGGGATGCGGGAAGAGACCCTGCCTGGAGCAGCCCTCGGTTCTTCCCCCGTGACGTTCCTGCGCGCCCACTAACGTTCGCTCCCCGAGCTCCTTGTCAAACTTTTCTAACTCGGGAATTATTTAAGGTTTCAGAGAGACGCGGCGGCTTTTTCCCCCCACTGGAGCTGGGGCGGAGGTTGGGTGCGTGTCCGGGGCTCGTGGGGAGTGTCAGGGACTCTGTGCGGCAGGGAGGGCCCGCGGTGAGCTGGGTGTTGCTGTGTCTCCCCGCAGCCCTGAGCAGCCATG